ACATGTTCGAGTTACCTAACTTTAACGATGACTGACCATTTATTTCAAGCATACTGTTTTTCACACTGGCTTTTGCACGACCTGATTTTCTCGCTCTGATTTTTGACAAATTTTACAAATTTTTCAAAATTTCAATCTCTACGCAGGCGTAGAGTAAATTCACGCACAATGTGAATATTAACTAGCAACATCGTTACCGATGATGATGACGGCAATCTCACCGACTGCTTTCTTTATTAGCAATCTAGTTTACTCGAAAAAAAAAAAAAAAAAAAAAAAAAAAGAAAAAGGAAAAAAAAATTACACACATTTCGACGAATAATCGTTCAAACTCGACAACTAATCGGAATAGTTCGTTGTCGGAAACGAAGAATCGGACAACATTTTTCTCAACCAAATGATTATTGCCGCGCCATTCCAAATTTCCCATTAAGACGAATCGTCGTTATTAAATTAACACTGTGCAATTGAATTAACACGTTCCTCTTTGCAGCAATTCGCAACGTGATTATTTCACATTTACATTGATAATAAAATAAAATTAATTATGCTTTTCCCAAATTTGCTTTTTTTCTTTCTTTTTTAACACACAAGTGAAAAGAAACGCATCAAAGGATCTGACGTTCCTCGTACTCGTACTCTTCGAGAGTTTGATCGTACAAGATTAGTTTGTACTCGATACGTTGTTCGAGTAGTAGTGCAGCACCGGGAAATGAAAGATTGAGAATCGCTTCTTCCTCCATTCGAGTACTTTGCCGAATACTTACTTACTTACTTATCTTGCAGACTGTGATGAAACTAGGTAACGTAGCTGACACGATACGATTCGGATCGTTTACATTTGCGCAAGCCATTCATATATTCGTGCTCTGCCTTCCTGGACAAAGGCTGTTGAACCACAACGAGGAAGTACACGCTGCCGCGTATGTTCTTTCCTGCTTTTCATTTCTTCATTTCTTCATTTCTTCATTTCTCAGGAGAAGCTATCTCTTTTCTCGGAGAATTAATTTCTCCAAGGAATAAATATCATTAGAAAGAAAGAAAGAAAGAAAGAAAGAAAGAAAGAATTACTTAGAAAGAAGGACCAATTCTCGTCTCTAGGTGCGAAGCAATGTGGTACATATTCCCGAGAAATTGCCACAACTTGTATAAGTTTCTGCTCGCAAGAACGTTCGCATTCAGCAAGATAACAGCTTTGAGAATGGCGACCATGTCGATGGAAACGTTCCTCGCGGTAACACCACTTCTTTCATCGCGATCTTTATCGTCGAGTACAAAGATACGTTTTCTTATCGCTTGTCGTTCATTTTCATTTTCAGATTATTCAAAGCGCGATGAGCTACTTTGCTGTACTATTATCAGTTACGTGAACGTCAACGTCAACGTCAACATCAACGTCAACGTGAATGAGAAAATAACAACTATATATATATCTCTTGGCCATGTACCTAGTATCTAATAAAAACTGTCAGTATATATA